TTTTTTTTTTTTTTTTTTTTGAGATGGAGTCTCGCTGTCACCCAGGCTGGAGTGCAGTGGCATGATCTCGGCTCACTGCAACCTCCACCTCCCAGGGTCGAGCAATTCTCCTGCCTCAGCCTCCCAAGTAGCTGGGACTACAGGTGCACACCACCATGCCCAGCTAATTTTTGTATTTTTAGTAGAGACAGGGTTTCACCACGTTGGCCAGGATGGTCTTGATCTCTTGACCTCATGATCTGCCCACCTCAGCCTCCCAAAGTGCTAGGATTACAGGCATGAGCCACCATGCCAGGCCTGTAGTCTTCTTTTAGTGGTTGTGGTAGAAATTACTCTCTATATATATACACACACACATACATACATACATACACACACACACACATACACACACACACACGTACATACACCTAACTTTTCAGTCTACTTAGAAATCCTATTTTACATTTTCAGAAGGCAGAAATCTTACCATTCTATTTCTTTTACCCTACTCCCTTTTATGTTATAGTTGTCAAATGTATTACACTGATACATGCTGAAAACCCCACTAGACAATTTATTTTTTTGTTTTTTGAGACAGAGTCTCCCTGTCACCAGGTGGGAGTGCAGTGGCACGATCTTGGCTCACTGTAACCTTTCCCTCCTAGGTTCAAGTGATTCTCCTGCCTCAGCCTCCTGAGTAGCTGGATTTACAGGCACATGCCACCATGCCTGGCTCATTTTTGTATTTTTACTAGAGACAGGGTTTCACCATGTTGGTCAGGCTGGTCTCAAACTCCTGACCTCAGGTGATCCGCCTGCCTCGGCCTACCAAAGTGCTGGGATTACAGGCTTGAACTACTGAGACTGGCTGACAATGTTATAGCTTTAAGGTATGTATGACAATTTCAACTTTTTGTTTGTTTCTTGAGACAGGGTCTTACTCTGCCAGATCTTTAACATTTCTGTTGTTTTTCTTTCATTCCTAAAGTTCCAAGATTCCCTCTGGCATCATTTCCCTTCCACTCAAAGAACTTTCTCTAGCATTTCTGTTAAAGTAAATAATAATTCTCGTATTTTTTTTTTCCCTGTTAGAATATCCTTATTTTGCCTTCATTCCAAAAGTTATTTTCATTGGATATGGAATTCTGGGTTGACAGCTCTTTTCTTTTAGCACTTTAAAAGTATTGTTTCTACCATCACAAAGAAGATGAGAAAAAAATAATAATAATAATAAAAAAGGATCAGTGTCTCACGCCTGTAATCCTATCACATTGGGAGGCTAAGGTGGGTGGATTTTGAGCTCAGGAATTCAAGACCAGGCTAGGCAACATAGTGAAACCCCATCTCTACAAAAAATACAAAAATTATCTGGGCACAGTGGCGCACATCTGTAGTCTGAGCTACTGTGGATGCTGAGGTGGGAAGATCACTTGAGCTCAAGAGGTTGAGGTTTCAGTGAGTTGAGATCACGCCACTGCACTGTAGCCTAGGGGATGGAGTGAGATCCTGTCTCAAAATAACAATAATTTAAAAAGTATTATTCTGGCCGGACGCGGTGGCTCATGCCTGCAGTTCCAGCCCTTTGGGAGGCTGAGGTGGGCGGATCATGAGGTCAGGAGTTCGAGACCAATCTGGCCAACATGATGAAACCCCATTCTCTACTAAATATGCAAAAATTAGTCAGCCGTGGTAGCGGGCACTTGTAATCCCAGCTACTCAGGAGGCTGAGGCAGGAGAATTGCTTGAACCTGGGAGGCAGAGGTTGCAGTGAGCCGAGATTGCACCACTGCCCTCCAGCCTGGGCGACAGAGAGAGACTCCATCTCAAACAAACAAACAAACAAAACCAAAGTATTATTTCATTTCCTTCTCATCTCCATAGTTTCTGATAAGAAATCCATAATCATTCAAATCATTGTTTTTCTATATATGTTATGTATTACTTTCTCCTGGCTGCTTTCAAGATGTTTTCTTCAACTTTAGTTTTCAGCAGTTTGATTCTGATGTGTCTCAAGTGTGGATTTGAGTTTATCTTCTCTGGAATTTTCTAAGTTTCTTGAATCTGTAAGTTTACGTCTTTCACCAAATTTAGATTTTTTTTTTTTTTTTTTTAAGATAGAGTCTCACTCTGTTGCCCAGGCTGGAGTGCAGTGGCACCATCTGGACTCTGGACTCACTGCAACCTCTACCTTCCAGGTTCAAGTGATTCTTGTGCCTCAGCCACCCAAGTAGCTGGGATTATAGGTGTACACCAACATGCCTGGCTAATTTCTGTATTTTTAGTAGAGATGGGGTTTTGTCATGCTGGCCAGGCTGGTCTCGAACTCCCAACCTCAAATGATCCACCCACCTCGGCCTCCCAAAGTGCTGGGATTACAGGTGTGAGCCACTGAACCTGCCCTAAAATTAGAGGACTTTTTTTTGCCAATATTTCTTCAAATACTTTTTCTGCACACACCACTCTTTCTCATCTCTTATTGGGAATCCAATGACATAAATGTCAGACATTCTAGTATTTTCCCACAGGTCCCTGAGACTGTTCAGTTTTTTCTTCCTACTCTTTTTTCCTCTCTGTTGCTTAAACCAGATAATTTCTAGTGATCTGTTTTCAATTCACTGACTTTCTTTGTCATCTCTAGTCTTCTATTAAGCCCATCCAGTGAGTTTTAAATTTTTAGTGTTTGTATTTTTCAGTTCTAATATTCCTATTTGGTTCTCTTCTGTATCTTCTATTTCTCTGATGAGACTTTCTATATTCCTGTTTGTTTCAGGAATGTTTGCTCTTACTTCTTATAGCATGGTCTTACTAGCTGCTTTAAAATCTTTGATAACTCCAACATTTGTGTCATCTTGGGGTTGGCATCTGTTGACTGCCTTCCCTTGCAAGTACATGAGAATTACTCATATGTCAAGTCATTATGGATGGTATCCTGGACACTGTGAATGTTATGAGACTCTGGGTCTTCTTTAAACTTTATGCAAAAATGTTAATATTTTTGTCTTAGCAGGCAACTGACCAGGTGAGGTTCTGCCTCCTGGGCAGATGGTGAGAGAATAGAGAGAAAAAGAAAAGCAATCAGGATCCCCCCTCATCCTCTTGCTCAGAGATTTAGGAACCTGTACTGCCACTGCTGCTGCTGCTATTGCAGCCACAGGCTTGCCTAGGGTCTGGATGGGAGAGATCAGAAAAAGGGAGGAGGAGGAGGAAAAACCTCCAGGGGAATCCCCTTCCTCTCTGTCCTGTAGGAGTCCCATTTCCTGCTCTTTAACCAGAAAAAGGCTTTTTTGTTTTTTGAGATGGAGTCTCATTCTGTTGCCCAGGGTGGAATGCAGTGGCGCAATCTTGGCTCACTGCAACCTCTGCCTCCCGGGTTCAAGCAATTCTCCTGCCTCAGCCTCCCAAGTAGCTGGGATTACAGGCGCCTGCCACCACATCCAGCTAATTTTTTTGTGTTTTTAGTAGAGAAGGGTTTCACCATGTTGGCCAGCATGGTCTTGATCTCCTGACCTCGTGATCCGCCCACCTCAGCCTCCCAAAGTGCTGGGATTACAGGTGTGAGCCACTGCACCTGGCAGAAAAAGGCTTTTTTGCACTCATTATGTACTTCCAGGTTTCAGGCTGTTATTGAAGTCCTATCAGAAGTAAGACAAAGAGGACACTCACCACCAGCTGATGGCACTTTGAGTTCCCTAATTCACCAACTAGGATTTATTTTTCAGAGTCTTTAGCTGGCTACTCCAAGCATTTGGTCCACGTCTATTAGTTCTATTCTGCAGGAGACACGGTGGGGTGTGCTTACTCCATCTCACCCAGAACTGAAACTTCACCAGAGGCTCTTAACTCTATTGTACAACCAGGATGGAGAACCACTGCATACATGTATGTGAAGGTTGTACATCAGGGATTGGCCAATATTTTCTCTAAAGGGCCAAATAGTAAATATTTTAGGCTTTGTGGCCTGTTGCAATGACTTAACCTATTCAGCTCTGCTGTTGTTATGTGCAAGCAGCCATACATAAGGTATAAATAATTGGGCATAGCTCTCTTGCAATAAAACTTGATTCATTTATTTTTTAGATGGGGGTCTTGCTTTGTCACTGCACCCAGGCTGGAGTGCAGTGGCACAAACATAGATCACTGCCACCTTCAATTCCTGGGCTCAAGTCCCAGCCTCCCAAGTAGCTGGGACTACAGGCGTGCACCACCATGCCTGGCTAATTTTTAAAAAAACTTTTTTGTGGAGACAGGGTCTCACCCCTCTTGCCCAGGCTGGTCTCGAATTCCTGGGCTCAAGCAATCCTCCTGCCTCGGCCTCCCAAAGTGCTAGGATTACAGGCATGACCCATTGCACCCGGCAAAAGCTTGCTTGCTTGCTTTATTTATTTATTTAGACTATTTATTTATTTATTTATTTATTTATTTATTTATTTAGACAAGTCTTACTCTGTCACCCAGGCTGAAGTGCAGTGGCGCAATACAAAACTTCATTTAATAAAACAAGTAGCTGGCTACATTTGGGCTACACAAAACTTCATTTAATAAAACAAGTAGCTGGCTAGATTTGGGCTACAGACCATGGTTTGCTGACCCCCTGTTCCATATCCCAAATAGCCAACTTGGCTTTGACAAAGTTTATTTCTGGACTTTTTTTCCATTCCTTAGGAAGAATTTTTCAAATAACTACAAAGGTTATTGCTTTACTCCTGCATTTACTCCCACCAAGTTCAAGAACTGTGGTAACCATTCAATTTTGCTTTGATTATTCAATCTGATTCTTGAAATAAGTTATTTCTCTAGAGCTGAAGTTTTAAAAATGAAAAATCTAAGATTTGTCCAACTTTATATCTTTTACATGTAACTGACAATTCTGTAGTTATCCTTTCAAATTAGAACCCATATTTACAGCTTTCTCAGGGATATGTTAAAGTAGAGGAGGTCATAAAAAAATAGTGTCCCGACTTGTTTTTCTAGAACCTTCCTGACTGGAGATGTGAAGCGGTCATTCTCCGTCCACTTACCTGGTTTCCTGCCACAGAGATAGAAGGCTAGTCTGTCCGTCAGCTCATACTGTATTTCCACAAGGCGCTCTGCCAGCTCATGGTGCCCTCCTTGCCTACCAAGAGAAAACAAAGTACCATTTATATTACTCACGATTCACTGGCTTTAAAATGGAGAAGTACAAAGAGAGACACCTGAGCAGTTTATCACACAAGGCTTTTTAGAATAATCAACTTTGTCGTGGGAGGTAGATTTCTGAAGTCTACTTTGCATCCCACTTTTATAAACTGTTTTCACCATCTGAACTATCCCCTTTCCTTTATTAAGGCACAAAATAGAATACTTAATAAGAAATTCAAAGATTTATGAGAGGGAAGGATAAAGAATGACTTAATTTAATGAAGTAAAAAAATGAAATTAATCAATGGTTTAGGGTAGAGGTTCTCAAAAATTAACTAGCACATTTCTAGGAATATACCATGTGCACGCCCCACCCTTGGAAATTCTGAATCAGTGGGGACAGGATGGGACCAGGGCCCAGTATGTTGAAGAAAGTCCTTCCCCTAGGTGATGCCGATGCAGCCAGTCTGACTCTGGATGACAGTCTAGTAACCACTTCAAAGACTTCAAATCAGTGACAGACAGGCCAACCTAATGCACAGCTCATGCCTGTAGCTACTTCTGTCTCCTTATCTTCAATTTGCATAACAGAAAATATTAAATTTACCTTTCAACATTCATGAAATATTTAAGCTGCTTAGAATCCTTTTGGTAACAAGGATTCAAACAAATTATATTGAGATTATTATATGCAAGGTACAAGTGTGAAAATCCCATGGTAAATGATAATAAGTATTATTTACCCAGGGCTCTCTTCCAAGATCAAGTATATTTTGTGGTTTTTGTCCTTAAAAGTAATGGCAAAAACCGCAATTATTTTTGCACCAACCTGACAGTTTCAGTCAGCTTCTCTCCCGACCATTCAAGGCACTCACAACACCCTCCGACCTACCACACAGCTTTGATCTGTGAGAGTCACATCTTATTCTTTCATTTTTTAGTATCTTTGAAATCAGGAAATATTCTATAATTGATGATACACCATAATTGGCTGAGCTCTTTTCTTTTTTAGCGCTGTGTGAAATAATGAAGCACTGTGCAATACTGTACTCCTGCTGTTATTCCCAGACTCACTCTGTTCTTTCCAGCCAGGTCTCCTGCTGTGCTGAACACGCTTTGTCCCTCCCTGCCTCCTGATCTTGACTCCTGCCTTTCCTCTTACCTGGAATGCTTTAGCTCCTCCTTCACACATTCAAATCCAACCCATTCTTCAAGACCAACTGAAGAAATTTCTTAAATGATTTGGACCAAAATGAAGAAACCCTATATATGCTTTTTAAGACCAATTATCTATTTTGGCAATGAATCACACATGGTCTTGCCTCCTTGAACTCTTTCAGGCATTCATGAATCATCTTTTCCAAGAGAGTAAATTTTGGGAAGGCAGAGTTTTGTTATTTGCCCATTTTATCCTCTGTGGAGCACAGTTAATAAAGGTACTTTGGAAAAAGAAGGAAAGATGATTGATCTTTGGCCATTTAATTGATATCCAAATTAATTGAATATTTAAATGATATTCAAGACTAACCTATAATTTTTCAAGGACGGTATTAATAAAGAAAAATTTAAAGCATTTTACAGTGAGCACTTTTTTTTTTTTTTTTGAGATAGTCTCGCCCTGTTACCCAGGCTGGAGTACAGTGGCGTGATCTTGGCTCATAGCAACCTCTGCCTCCCAGGTTCAAGTGATTCTCCTGCCTCAGCCTCCCAGGTAGCGGGATTACAGGCGCCTGCCACCATGACCAGCCAATTTTTTTTTTTTTTTTTTTTTGTATTTTTAGTAGAGACAGAGTTTCACCATGTTGGTCAGGCTGGTCTCGAACTTCTGGCCTCAAGTAACCTGTCTGCCTTATACCATCAAAGTGCTGGGATTATAGGTGTGAGCCACCGCGCCCAGCCTAGAGTGAGCACTTAGATGTCTACTACCCCAACCTTACAATTAACATTTTACTATACTTGTTTAATCACATATCTATGTATAGATTTGCTTTTAAGTTCAAGCAATAACTAAGAGTATTAAAAAATAGAAGAGTGTGGCTGGGCGCGGTGGCTTACGCCTGTAATCCCAGCACTTTGGGAGGCTGAGATGGGTGGATCACGAGGTCAGAAGATGGAGACCATCCTGGCTAACATGGTGAAACCGTCTCTACTAAAAATACAAAAAAATTAGCCAGGCGTGGTGGTGGGCGCCTGTAGTCCTAGCTACTCAGGAGGCTGAGGCAGGAGAATGGCGTGAATCCAGGAGGCGGAGCTTGCAGTGAGCCGAGATGGCCCCACTGCACTCCAGCCTGGGTGACAGAGCGAGACTCCGTCTCAAAAAAAACAGAACAGTGCATTCTGTAATTCTTCATACTTGATTTGGAATCTGACTATAGCTCAAATACCACTGTGTTATAAAGGATCAAGTAAAAGACTGGAAGTTTAGCACACTGGTTCATGATTCTAGCCTTCCTCAACTTTGCCAGGCTGAGCTTATATGCATTTGAAATGTCTTCATCTGTAAAATAAAGTAACATAAATCTTTAAAGGGGTTAAATGTTAACATACACAACTTAGCTACTTAACAAGGAATCATACCCAACAAAAAAATTCCAGAGAGAAGTTGCAAGAATCTAGGTCTCTTACCTTGCATAATCAACGGGAGTTTTCCCACTAGAATCCTGTGTGCCTGGGTCTGCTCCATATACTGCTAATAATTCAGCCTGTAAAATCTGCCCTGCTTTGGAGGCAACATGGAGTGGGGTGTTTCCTTTTTCCTAAGAATCATTAATAAAAAGTAGACAAAAGAGCACATTAAATAAAGCTACATGAACACAACTCACTTAGTTTCAATACCTGAAGCAATTGATGTTTTCTTACAGGATGAAAGAAGTTGGCTTGTGCTCCTAAAGACAACAGTCTCAAACAGGTTTCAAGATTCCCTGTTCTCACGCTTGAATGGAGTTGCTGAAAAACATAGAAACAAGAAAGGAATCGTGGTTAGAGGTGTAAAGAATGATGTCCTAGAGCAGTAGATAGACCATTTTAATATATGTTACATCAGTAACACATAATCTTTATTTGTTTCGGTCAAGTGCATGGACCAGTCTCTCCTTTGCCAGTCACAACCGTCCCTGGGCTGTAAGATGGGGTCAGGCCATTTTACTGATAAGGAAACTAGGGCTGTGAAGGCTGATTTGCCCAAATGCATGACTTGTCTAAGAAGTGGCACAACCAGAACCTGAGTGAGAGGTAGGACTGTGTGAAAACGTGACTGCGTGGTTCTGATGTCTGACAGACCTGAATTTCAAACTATACCCACTTCAAACTGTGTGGGCTAGAGAAAGAGCTTTAAGCAATCTGAACCTCACTTTCCTCATCTCAAAAATGTCAACAATGGCCAGATGCAGTGGCTCATGCCTATAATCGCAGCATTTTGGGGGGTTGAGGTGGGAGGATCACTTGAGCCCAGGGGTTTGAGACCAGCCTGGGAAACATAGCAAGACTCTGGCTCTACAAAATATACGAAAATTAGTTGGGTGTGGTGGCATGTGCGCCTGTAGTCCCTGCTACTAGGGAGGCTGAGATGGGAAGATCACTTGAGCCTGGGCAGTGGAGGCTGCAGTGAGCTGTGATCATGCCACTGCACTCCAGTCTGGGCGACAGAGCAAGACCCTGTCCAAAAAAAAAAAAACAAAATTTATAAAAGGTGGCATTTTTCTTTTTAGAAAGGGTCTTGCTTGCTCTGTCATCCAGGCTGGAGTGCAGTGGAGTGATCATGTTTCACTGCAGCCTCAGTATGCTGGGCTCAAGCAATCCTTCTACCTCAGCCTCCCAAATAGCTGGCACTACAGGCACTGGCCACCACGCCCTCCTAATTTTTTATTTTTCAATACAGATGAGGTCTCACTATGTCGCCCAGGCTGGTCTCGAACTTACGAGCTAAAGCAATTCTCCCACCTTGGCCTCCCAAAGTGTTGGGATTACAGGCATGAGCTACTGTGCCTTATTCACAGGGTTATGATAAGGATTTAGTGATATAATAAAGTGCTCAAAGAATACAAATGCTATAATAACGGTTATTACTATTAGTTGTTACTGTAATTACGGCTTTAGGACTTCAAATTCTATACTGTGTAAGCTACAGGATCCTGCCTTATACAATACCCTCTCTGCCACATTATTCTTGGCCTGTATAATATGCTTTAATAAAGTATTTCAGGGTAGGAAAAGGCCCGTGATATACCGAATTCTATACTACTGAAGAAAAGCTCTTATATATTCAGAAGATGAGTTGCCTTCCTTTCAAATCTAACCTAGAATTGTCCAAGATGCAGTAACCCTCATCACAGGAATTAAGAAATCTACTCTAACATCTATTTCTACTAAGTCTTGTTTAATTTTTTAAATAGTTATGTTTGTTTGTTTGTTTTTTAAACACAGGGTCACATTATGTTGCCCAGGCAGGACTGAACTCCTCCGCTCAAGCAACCCTTCCACCTTAGCCTCCCAAGCAGCTAGTATTACAGGCATGTGCCACTGTGCCTAATTTTTTAAAACTATGGTAAGAAAAAAAAACCCAACACATACCAAGTCTTATTAACCAATGGAAGTAGCAAGTGTATGCATTTCTATGCAAAATTTCAAATTGTGAATTCTTCAGCCAGATTCTGCTGGGGATTAAAAAAGGGGGGGGGGAAAAAAAAAGGCCGGATACAGTGGCTCACACCTGTAATCCCAGCACTTTGGGAGGCCAAGGCAGGCAGACTGCTTAAGACGAAGAATTTGAGACCAGTCTGGACAACAGGGTGAAACCCCATCTCTCAAAAAAAGACAAAAATTGGCCGGGCGTGGTGGCTCATGCCTGTAATCCCAGCACTTTGGGAGGCTGAGGGGGGTAGTTCACTTGAGGTCAGGAGTTCAACACCGGCCTGGCCAACATGGCGAAACCCTGTCTCTACTAAAAATACAAAAAAAATTAGCCAGGTGTGGTGGCAGGCAATCCAAGCTACTCAGGATGCTGAGGCAGGAGAATAGTTTAAACCCAGGAGGTGGAAAACCCAGGAGGTGGAAATTGCAGTGAGCCGAGATCGTGCCACTGCACTCCAGCCTGGGTGACACAGTGAGACTCCATCTCAAAAAAACAAAAAACAAAACACACAAACACACACACACATACACACACACACACACACAAATTAGTCAGGCTTGGTGGCACATGCCTGTGATCCCAGCCACTTGAGAGGCTGAGATGGGAGAATCATTTGAGCCTGGGGAGTTTGAGGGTGCAGTCAGCCATGATTGTGCCACTACACTCTAGCCTGGGCAATAGAGTGAGACTCTGTCATTCAGGCTGGAGTGCCGTGGCATGATCTCGGCTCACTGCAACCTTCATCTCCCCAGTTCAAGAGATTCTCAGCCAAATTCTACTAGACATACAAAGAAAAACTAACATCCTACTGAAATTATTCCAAACAATCAAAGAGGAGAGGCTCCTCCCTAACTCATTCTGTGAAGCCAACATCAGCCTGATACCAAAATCAGGCAGAGACACAACAAAAAAGGAAAACTTCAGGCCAAAATCCATGATGAACACAGATTTTTTAAAAAAAACTCTCAATAAAATATTAGCAAACCGAATCCAGCAGCACATCAAAAGTTAATCCACCGTGGCTGGGCGCAGTGGCTCACGCCTGTAGTCCCAGCACTTTGGGCAGCTGAGACAGGCGGATCACGAGGTCAGGAGTTTGAGACCAGCCAGGCCAACATGGCAAAACCCCGTCTCTACTAAAGATACAAAAAATGGCCAGGTGTGGTGGTTCACGCCTGTAATCCCAGCACTTTGGGAGGCCAAGGCGGGTGGATCATGAGGTCAGGAGATCAAGACCATCCTGGCTAACACAGTGAAATACAAAAAAATTAGCTGGGCATGGTGGCGGATGCCTGTAGTTCCAGCTACTTGGGAGGCTGAGGCAGGAGAATGGCGTGAACCCGGGAGGCAGAGCTTGCAATGAGCCAAGATTGTGCCACTGCACTCCAGCCTGGGTGACAGAGCAAGACTCCGTCTCAAAGAAAAAAAAACAAACAAAAGATTAGCCAGGCCTGGTGGCACACGCCTGTAATCCCAGCTACTTGGGCGGCTGAGGCAGGAGAATCACTTGAACCTGGGAGACGGAGGTTACAGTGAGCCGAGATCGCGCCATTGTACTTCAACCCAGACAACAGGGTAACACTCCGTCTCCAAAAAAAAAAAAAAAAAAAAATTAATCTACCATGATCAAGTAGGCTTTTTTGCTGAGATTCAAGGCTGGTTCAACATACACAAATCAATAAATGTAATTTGCCACATAAATAGAAGCAAAAGCAAAAACCACATGATCATCTCAATAAATGCAGAAAAAGCTTTCTTTTTTTGAAACAGGGTCTTGCTCTGTCGTCCAGGCTGGAGTGTCGTGGTATAATCTCAGCTTACTGCAACCTCCACCTCCTGGGCTCAAGTCATTCTCCCACCTCAGGCTCCTGGGTAGCTGGGACTACAGGCACGTGCCACCATACCCGGCTAATTGTTGTTATTTTTTGTAGAGACGGGGTTTCGCCATGTTGCCCAGGCTGGTCTCGAACTCCTGAGCTCAAGTGATCTGCCGGTCTCAGTCTCCCAAAGTGCTGGGATTACAGGCGTGAACCATCGCACCCAGCCAAAAAGTAATAAAAAAAATTATGAATAGTAAGTCCTCAAGCTCTGTGTGAGTAAGCATTTATCCAAGGCAGTGCTTTGAAAATAAATATGCACACTTCTTACAGCATCTCTCAAAAACATGCGAAGGCCCACATAAAGAAAACCACCTCACTCGTTTTACAAGTATGATAAACCATTCTGTGAACTATAGCTTTGTGAGTCACACATTGCTTTCCGAAGATCATACTCATTGTTCAGCCTGGAAACCTGAAAAAGTAAGTCCCCTTCCTTTAGTACTTTTTCTAGTCCTTATTAAAAAGAAACAATTGTCCTATAAACTTTCTAGTCCCTTCTAGAAACAACTCTGAGATGGTTCCTATTTCAAAGTTAAACAAACAAAAAACTTATCAAAATATAATTTAAAAGCCATATTGGAAAAACACAAATAGCCTTCTAGAGACTTACTTTTCCTCTTTGCCCTGTGCCTCCACTACATGAATGGCTCCCATTTGAATTCAGATTAAAGATGAACCCAATTGGGAAATTGGGAAAAAAAGCTATTCATTACTTAATGTGCAGAACTTAGTTTTTGTTTTTCTTACTTTAAAAACTTTTTGCAGCCTGGGCAACACAGCAAGAACCTGTCTCTACAAAAAATAAAAAATATTAGCTGGGCATGGTAATGCGCCTGTAGTTCCAGCTACTCGGGAGGCTGATGTGGGAGGACTGCTAGAGCCTAGATGGTCAAGGCTGCAGTGAACCGTGATTGCACCACTGCACTCCAGCCTGGGCGACAGAGCAAGACCCTGTCTCAAAAAAACAAAAACAAAACAAAACACCAAAAAAACCCTGGCCGGGTGCGGTGGCTCACGCCTGCAATCCCAACACTTTGGGAGGCCGAGGCAGGCAGATCACCTGAGCTCAGGAGTTCGAGACCAGCCTGGCCAACATGGTAAAACCCCGTCTCTACTAAAAATACAAAACTTAGCCAGGCATGGTGGCATGCACCTGTAATCCCAGCTACCCAGGAGGCTGAGGCAGGAGAATTGCTGGAATCTGGGAGACAGAGGCTGCAGAGAGCCGAGATTGTGCCACTGCACTCCAGTCTGGGTGACAGAGCAAGACTCCGTCTCAAAAAAAAAAACAAAAAACAAAAACAAAACCCACAACCAAACTTCTTTTTTTTTTTTTCAAATAAAACAATATGCTGTCTTAGCCAGCTCTTTTAGGGATTTTAAAAGGTGTGACCCACCTTGCTAAGATCTTTGGCAGTCACACTATCATCATCCCGGCAGGGCAAGCGATGGACGAATGCTAACATCTGATACTTGGCTCTGATGAATTCCGCTTTATTGGGACTGGTTCAAAAACAAAAAAGAAAACAGTTCACTCGTTCAGATACAACAATCCCCATTCTTTGTACTGTAAGAAGAAGAGGAAGTGACCCACATCCCCCACTTGAGAATAAAATGAACAATGCTCAAGTAAGTTTCAGCAAGGTTTAAGACCTGAAGTTTGAAAACATACATTAGTCATTATAATGGCTGGGACGGCAGAGTGCCTGCTTTTTATAGTAGCCCTCTTCTCTGTGTAATTGTCTGAACTGACATAGCAACCTTGGAAGAAAGCAGCATTTAGTCCCATCTTACAGGTGAGGCAACAGGCAGAAGGGTGCCCAAACCTAGATTTCTGGTCTGATCGCCTCTTATTTGAGTATACGTTTAAATCTGATTACATTTACAGACTCCAAGCCATGGTTTCCAATTGAGGAAGCCGCTTACTCCTGCCGGGCGGCCATGCTAAACAGATGGTCCTGCCCCACCCCATTCTGCATTTCTAATAGCAAAGAGCCTGATGTATGACTAGGGTAACCCCCTCCTCTGCTGCCCTTGTGGAGACTGACCAAAAATAGCTGCACTCCTTTCAGTGGGCCCCATTTGTTATGAAGAAATAAAAGTATTTATAAACATTCCACTCACTGTACTTTATCCTGTGGATTAGCTTTACGTCTTCCACTCATAATAGATGCAGGGTCCAGCAAAGAATGCTCCCATATAGAGTTAGCACCGTTATTATACAAGGTCTCAACCATCTAAAACCAAGCAGACAACATAAGACTTTAATTTCTTTTCACAAATATTCAATGGGGATCAGTGACTGAACAGGGTAAACAAAGTCCTATTATAAACACTCATGTTAGGAATATCATTCATATCACTGTTTTCTGATTTGAGAATGAGAAAGATGATCAATCTGTATGCAGGATTCAGCTTTTACTAGTAGGATACTTAAATACCTAAAGAAGTGTGACCGAACTGTTCTTATACAGTATGAAAGACAAGCACTCTGACACCTTAGAGCAGGGTTTCCCAAACCTAATTAAACACTATTTTCAAGATTCTTAACGACCCATGTACTGTCTATATTATTCACATAATATTTGTCTTTAAAGCCACTTACTTTTAAAAACAACTACAGTTTGATGTGCTAGTTATAGCTTTCCTATACACAGTAAAATAATGCAACCATTTAAAAAAACCATGTATTACCTACATCTGTCTTGAATACCACTGGTGGTTCCACATTTGGGGAATTGTTGCTTTAGGGTCAACTCTGGCACTCTAAACTACTCATCTCTGGACTTTACTGAGATTCTATAATACAACCTGGCTTTGTAAACACAGACAGACCTGAGAGCAGTAAACAGCCCCTTTCACATGAGTGTGAGCTGTTAGAAACTTCTAAGCAAAAGTTAGTAATAAATCATATCTCCAAATTTCATTTCAAGGCATGACTCCTAAAAGAGCCCCATCTGTTTTTTACAGCAGTGTAGTTATTTTCACATCAGAGATCCAAACCCACTTGTTTTGGCTCCTTGGTTCACACAGGCAAGTTTAAGGGATATGTGCAGCTGTCAGAGATTCAGAGAAATGTCTAATCAAGACAAATGAAGGCAAAACACACATTTAACCTTGAGTTCCAAGAGAACTTGAAGAATGTGTACCCCAAAATAGAAGTAAAGGTGACATGACATTGGACCCCAAATAAAACAAAGAGCCCATTTAACAGGGTATTCTACATGCAATCAAAACATACTAATTTAATTTGGTCTCTCTGACTAGTAACAGAACTTTAAGAAAACTTAAAATGTTTCAGAAGTTTCTGAGGCCCATGCCACTATCAAAGCAGAAAAACATGTTCTAAAAATATTAGCAGGTACTCAGGAATAAGTACATTAAAGAAAAGTTTCTCAGGCAGTAGCTTTCAGAAACATTCATTATCATGCATAGAAGAGATGGACTACTGGCTGGGCACGATGGCTCATGCCTGTAATCCCAGCACTTTGAGAAGTTGAGGTGCAGATCACTTGAGTTCAGGAGTTCGAGACCAGCCTGGCCAACATGGTGAAATCCCTTCTCTACTAAAAATACAAAAATTAGCCAGGCATGATGGCGGGCGCCTGTAATCCCAGCTACTCGGGAGGCTGAGGCAGGAGAATCGCTTGAACCCTGGAGGCAGAGGTTGCAGTGAGCTGAGATCACACCACTGCACTCCAGCCTGGATGACAGAGACTCCGTCTCAAAAAAAAAAAAAAAAATTTTTTTCTAGTGACAGTCTAGAAAGTCAACAGTGCAACATTACCAAGGCATTTTAATGACTATCCATCTATGTACCTATAATTGAGCTGTTTGGACAAGATTTATGTCAAATAGGAAGAAAAATCTTAAATGATGAATTCAATACAGATAATATTTATAAGTAGCATTGATGGGCATGCCATCTCTATTCAATTATGAAACAGTTTTTTCTTATGGAAGAAGTACGCCAGGAGAAATTTTAGTTGTTAACACGATGAGCCCTCAAATGTAAATTACCATCAGGAGAATTCTTCTTATCCTTTACCTGAAGCAATGTTGGAGGCCATGGTGTGTGTTTCAGATGCCTCACTTGGGAGATATGGCGCCCTAGACTCCGATGGACACTGCAGCACTCATCACATATAAACGTTCCCCTATTTACTGATGCCCAGGAAGGATCTGGAAAGAGAGTGAAATCTCAGTGGCAGGGATACCAGCAGGTTGCTATACCGCCAGATGGCGAAAGATGACTGAGGTTTGCTTTGTCAGAAAAATGAGACATTTTTGTTTTAGTATGCTCATCAACGCATCGAGCTGGTTATCTTGTCGGATGATATGACCTACCTTGGCTGATTAGGTACAATGCTAATTGAGACTAAAAACATCAGTGGGAGCCTTGGGTAAACAGCTATCTTCTTTCTGGTTCAGGGCCACAGTTTGTAGCCCTAATGTGGATCTACCATTTCAGATGCATGCTCTTTCATTCAAGCTAAGAAAGCAAATTGAGAGGGTACTGATGAATGATTTTGGATCCATCTCCATAAAAACCAAGATAATACAATTTTTTTTTTTTTTTTTTTAGATGGAGTCTCACTCTGTCACCCAGGCTGGAGTACAGTGCCACAATCTTGGCTCACTGCAACCTCTCTCTCCCAGGTTCAAGTGATTCTCCTGCCTCAGCCTCCCAAGTAGCTGGGATTACAGGCATGCACCACCATGCCCGGCTAATTTTTGTATTTTTAGCAGAGACGGGGATTCATCGTGTTGGTCAGGTTGGTCTCAAACTCCTGACGTCAGGTGATCTGCCCACCTCGGCCTCCCAAAGTGCTGAGATTACAGGCGTGAGCCACTGCACCCGGCCAAGATAATATAATTTTCACAGTGAATTATGCAGATAGCATTTTCTGCAGTAAATGGTGTACAGACTGCTGTCCTAATTCACTGCTATGAATCAAGATGCCAATATGCTTAGCAGAAAGCTGCGAGTTACAGAATCATAAAATCACTCAGCTGCTATGGTTCTGAGAACAGGGAAACCTGGCCTCTTCCATTAGGAAATGTTCTATGACGTCCATCAAAATTTTTTTTTTTTTTTTTTTTTGAGACAGTCTCACTCCGTCCCGTAGGATGGAGTGCAGTGGCGCAATCTCGGCTCACTGCAACTTCTGCCTCCAGGGTTCAAACGATTCTCCTGCCTCAGCCTCCCGAGTAGCTGGAATTACACGCATGTGCCACCAGCTCAGCTAATTTTTGTTATTTTTAGTACAGACGAGGTTTCACCATATTGGCCAGGCTGGTCTCAAACTCCTGACCTCAGGTGATCCACTCGTCTCGGCCTCCCAAAGTGCTGGGATTACAGGTGTGAGCCACCGTGCCCAGCCAATTACTTGTTTTACATAAACTACCAAGTCCAATCCTGCAACTGATCTGAAAAAAAAAGAAGTTGCAATAACAGCAGCTTCACAGAGGCAAAGATGTAAAATAAAAATGAGTAATATTTTTAGTGTGTGTATAATACTTTCTTCCCTTTAAAATCATAGAGCTTCATTAGATGCCCTTGGAAACAAGGGATAATTTCATACTTGGCAAGCAGGATGGATCTGGGTAAGTAAACTGAATACTTTGAAACCTCAAAGAAAGACCTACATTTCATCAGACTCACAATGGGGTGACAATAGATGCCACTTAAGCTGCCTAGTCAAAGGGTTACATTTAAAAATTCTTCAATGTCCACAAAAATCTCTAAAATGCATGTACACCATCTTTACCATTTTTTAAGTTTATTCAAACCCATTCAAACCACATAATGAAAAGTTATGGGCTTTCAATCAAAGACAAATCCTGGGAGCCAGTGACTATGGTGGTTAAGAGGGTTGGCTCTAGAGACAAGCAATTCAGGGTTTGAACCCCAACTCTGCCACTTCTTGCACAGTGATCTCAGACAAGCTACTTCTTTGAGTGTTTTCACCATGGCTCAAATGAGAATAATAACATATCTCAGGATAGTGAGGATATAGAGAATCAGTGAGGTACCTCACACATAGTAAAGTAGTAACGTTAGCTGTTATATCTTTTCTAAATTTTTTTGTCAGTAATTCAGATATTTTCTAGATGTGAAATTCACGATCACTGGAAAAAGTTTTTGATGGGAAATATTTAAAACATTGAACATTTCACGTGACCACTATACTACTGTATTGAAAATCTCCATGGAGTTGTCAAGTAATTGAACTCAGAGTGTGATGTATTTGAAACGAACCAGATTCATTAAAAAAACAAACAAACACAAAAAAAAGTAGAATATTTAAGAAGTGATCATGGTTAAATGTTTGCATAAAACAGAATCAAAATAATTCAATTTATTATAACTGTCACTATTACTATATCATCCTAAAAAGCAGAGATTGGAAATGTCCAGATGAAGGAGCTCTACAAAGATGCATAACAACACTGCTTCCTGCGGTATAGTACTGTCACTAATGGCCAAAAAAAAAAAGACTGTTTTGAAGCATACCTTTGGTTTTCACTTATCATTCAGAGGATTTGCACTATTCTTTTTTTAGCAAGTATTTAACACATATTAATTAAGACAAGTATTCGACTAACCACTTTAGCATCCTGGATCGGAATCCCATGGAAAGAATATTAGAATGATAACGTAGTAAAATAAAAATAAGTTTGTATGAATGAGATTGGGTAAAACCCTTTAAGTTCATCTGGAGGCTTTATGCCTGGGCTCCAGGGACACCACAAATGAACTTCAAAAATGTCCGTGACTCCCCTAGACAAATCTTAGGTAAATTCGTTCACGTGCATTTTAGGGGAGAAGGCCTTAGCATTCATCAGAATCTCAAAGGGGTCCCTAACCCTACAGGTAATTCTCTCAGTAGGGTTTTGCAGAAAAGGCAGCACAAATTCCAGACTGCTCAATTTCAAAGAATATTTCAAGGTAGCCTACTTATATTCAAAACAGGAAGGAAGTGACTCAAGTCTCTGCAGATCAGGCGTATGAGACAACAACTAAAGCGATACAATGGAAGAGAAAATGTTCTGAAATGCACAAAATGCTGCAAAAGTATATTTAGGATGGCAATGGAGGAACACTTTTGCTTTGCCCCGTACCCCATCAAGAAGCAAAACAATATGCATTCCAAGAGGAAGTTAGAAGCTGGACACATGTGAATCAAACACATCACAGAAAGTTCGACTGAAAATAGGCAAGAAAATAAGGAAGTGGAACAAATAACATTTTTAGAGAAAACGATGGAGTTTGAGTTTGTATAACTCACACTAACTTGGTTTAGAAAACGCTTCTTTTTAAACTCCTCCACACCCCCTCCCTGTCTTCAAAGGAAACTGGTAACACCTGCACTGTACCAGCCATTAAAACCACCACATGAGGTTTGAGTTATCACAGTTCTATTTACAATCAGTCTTCACTTCCAAATGACAAGCTGAATATCAGAACAGTTGCAAAGCCAGTGGTGTTCAATGATTTGATTAAGATTGTTTATCGGACACTATTGTGCCAAGAAAGCCATGTTACCTTCGAATTAACTCAAAGCCAATACATTCAAGCACCTAAAACAGCACGTAATAATCTATCCAGAGACCTGACAATTCAGTTGCAATTGCTGAGACACGCTTGATCTCTAAATGTGAATATTATGTATGAACAGTTATGCATCATTATGAAGGAATGGTTTAGCGTTTCAATGCCCCTATATTGCTGGTGATTTTGCATTTGTTTCAGTTGTAATCAACGTATGATTTAGATAGTCAATTCTAGCTTTAAGGGACTGCAAGTGTTCTATTGTAGACAGCATAACGCAAAAAAGAAAAGCCTTAGATGATATGATCCTACGAGTATTCATTGAATCCTCCTCACCACTGAGCGTGATACTCCCGATTATCCTCATCGAAAAAAATGAGGAAATCAAGCCAAGTGACCAAGTGAAGTCACCAGCCCAAGGTCAGAAGCAAAATCAGAAGCAAAATCTAGTTTGAACCCAGGCCATTCAGATCCTCAAACTTGAGACACGCACTGCCTCCTAAGTGCTGGTTGTGTCTGGAAGACCCCGATCTACTGGCAATTCTCCCCGACGGAGTAGCTGTCGGATGTCAGGAGCGGGGAAGTCATCTACGGGGATCCTCTGGCGAGACTCAGGGAGTGTCATCCTCCCCGGGCAGGGCACCCAGGCGGAGAGAGGGTCTAGTGGGAGGTGACACCTGCAGCCTCTGGAGGCTGCAGCCGGGAGGACGCTCGCATTTTACTTCTGTAATTGGCTTTCCTGTGTATTGCCCAAGCCCCTTCCTGTTGGGGGAGCAGCCCTGGCCCCCGTCACCTCCCCAGCTGGCCTGGGACGGAGGGAACGGGAGGGAACTAGAGGCAACGAGAGGAAAGGGAGGGCCGCGAGGTACTGGGAGGGCGGCGGCCCCCTGCCCGCCAGGCTCTGACAGGCCCGGGACAGGTCCTGCCCCAGGGCCGCCCCGGGACCTCTTCGTTGAGACCCTAGTAGCGGGCTGCGGACGCTTGACCGCAGGATGCCGCCTGACCTGAGTGGGCGGCCCCGGGGTAGGGGTCCGTGCCAGGAAAGCAGAGGGGAGCGGGCCCGGCCGGTGCGACTCACCCGGCCCGCTGCAGTCAGCGCACACCTCGCTGCTCCGGAGCCGTTTCGACATGGCTCCCGCCTCCCACCTGCCGGGAACTAGAGGCCCGGGGACAGCAAAGGCGGCGACGGCGGCGCTTCCGCTCTAACGGGTCCCAGCGGCAGCGGCGCTGACGGCGGCGCCTCTCCCCTCAGTGCCTTGCAGCCTTGGCATAGCACGCAAGCGCGGGGAGGCGCCCTTCTGCGAGTGTCAGGTCATGTGACCGGAAAGGGCACGCTGCCTTGTCGCCATCTTGAGTGAGGGCAGGAGATTGCTGGAGCATCATCTGTCCTACCTTTAAGTATTGAATTTGGGTCTCCCTCTCTGGCAGAGATTCCCCTCGTCCCAACTGATTAATACCAGGGGAAGCAGCAATATCTTGTGATGAGAACCCTGCAGCCACAACCTTCCTGAGGCAATCAATGGTCAAGTTCATTGATTCATTCCTTTATTCAACAAATATTTATCGGCCGGGCGCGGTGGCTCAAGCCTGTAATCCCAGCACTTTGGGAGGCCGAGACGGGCGGATCACGAGGTCAGGAGATCGAGACCATCCTGGCTAACACAGTGAAACCCCGTCTCTACTAAAAAATACAAAAAACTAGCTGGGCGAGGTGGCGGGCGCCTGTAGTCCCAGCTACTCAGGAGGCTGAGGCGTGAGAATGGCTTGAGTCTGGGAGGTGGAGGTTGCAGTGAGCCGAGATCCGGCCACTGCACTCCAGCCTGGGCGACAGAGCGAGACTCCGCCTCAAAAAAAAAAAAAAAAAAAAAACAAATATTTATCGAGTACTTACCATGTTTTATACAATGTCCCAGCCACTGGAGAAACAGCAGTGAGCAAAGACTGAATTTCTAGTCCTTATGAAGCTTGCATTTTACTGAGGTAGATAAAGTAAAATAAGAGTATATTATATGATTCCAGGCTGGGCGCGGTGGCTCACTCTTGTAATCTCAACACTTTGGAAGGCTGAGGCAGGCGGATCACTTGAGGCAGGAGTTGGAGACCAGCCTGGGCAACATAGTGAAACCCCATCTCTACTAAAAATACAAAAATTGGCCGGGCACGGTGACTCAAACGCCTGTAATCCCAGCACTCTCTGAGGCCGAGGCGGGTGGATCACGAGGTCAGAAGTTCAAGACCAGCCTGGCCGAGATGGTGAAACCCCGTCTCTACTAAAAAATACAAAAATTAGCCAGGCACAGTGGCAGGTGCCTGTAATCCCAGCTACTTGGGAGGCGGAGGCAGGAGCTTGAACCCAGGGGGTGGAGGTTGCAGTGAGCCGAGATGATGCCATTGCACTCCATTCTGTCTCAAAAAAAAAAAAAAGATTGGCCGGGCGTGGTGGCGCATGCCTGTAATCTCAGATACTCAGGAGGCTGAGGCGTGAGAATCGCTTGAGCCTGGGAGGTAGAGGTTGCAGTGAGCAGAGATCACGTCACCGCACTCCAGCCTGGACGACAGAGTGAGACTGTCTCAAAAACAACTCAACAACGACAACAAAAATAACAAAAAAGAATATATTAGATGATTCCTTATTTAGGCTTCAGTTTTAATCTCATCTTCAAAATTAAGATAATGCATTGTTTACTTCTAGTCCATGATTTGTTTTGTATGGCTTGCTACTTAAGAATGATTTTTACATTTTTAAAGGGTTGCCAGATGAAAATGAAGAAGAGAGAGAGGGAAAGAAAGAAAAAGAGGAAGAAGAATATGCAACAAAACTTGTATGTGACCAGCAAAGTTAAACATTCATTTTTGCTAAGGACAGATGGAATAAATTATGGGAAAAATGTGATATACCTGCTGGATAGTAACCCCTCAGTAAATAGTAGCTCCCATAATTATGGATATTGCTATTATTTTCTAATTACTGTTTTTCTTCATATGCGTGGAATTTGAGACTAAGAATAGCTAACCTGGGATAATTTACAGAAAAGTGTGAGATAAACACAATGAAATGAGGTGAATCAGTGTGAAGGAGAAAGGAGATGTGGCCCTAATACCAATGATTACTTATTGTCTGTCTTACATATAAACACAACTATGATCTCCATTCCGCAAATATTGAATGCCTGTTGTGAGCCAGGTACTATTTTGGTTTTAGATACTCTGGTAAGCAAAACGATGTGGTTCCTGTCATTGTGGGGTTTTCTGATTAATGAGATAGGGAGATTTTCAAAAAACATGGGAAGATGAAGAAGAAGAACATTAAGTTGCAAAAGGCATCTGAAAGAATGAGAAGTGCTGGAAGAGGCCTCAAAGCACTGGTCTTGAGTTCATCTCTACAGTGTGATAAATGTGTGATGTAGGAATAATCACAGAATTCCCACGCATTCCTCGGTTAGAGTCTCCGGGTGCCATCCTGGTGCTCCTGCATCCTGTTTTGGTTTAACAGCTCACAAATCTGGGCTCCACATCTGTGGAGAATGGATTAGGTTGGGATTCTTGAACAGCTGTGTTGCAGGCATCTGAAGAGCTGGATGTGCATATGCTCAGAGGGCAGAGGGAATGTTTTCACACTGCATTAAATAGCTTCACCCTGCTATGTGGTCTAGTTGTAGACAGCTGAGCTGAAGCAGCAGCAGAAAGTTCAAGCCCATGAGTAGCTAGCTGTAAGTTGTTTTGGTTCTTCATTGAGTCAAGGAGGCATAGTGCCTGAAACACAAAGAATAAACTTCACATTCGCAGACTGTGGTCAAATATGTGTATTATTTATCAATCCTTTCAGCCATAACCTCAAATCCAAAAAGCTAGCTTAAAAATGACACTCATACACGGACTAAATCACCACCATAGGTAGCCATTGAATCATACTGGTTCGGAGTTCAAATAGAAGCGGTTTTCAACTGAGGACGATTTTTCTCCCCGAGGCGACATTTGGCAATATCTGGAGAGACATGTTTTGGGGAGTGCTACTGGCATTGAGTGGGGAGAAAGACCAGGGAAACCGCTCAGCATCCTACAAAGGACTGGACAACCCCACACAAAAACTGCCCAGTTCAATATGATTGAGAAATCATGAAGTAGAAATATCCCCTTTTATGCAAATACTGTATTTGAAGCCACTTCGCCAGGGTTTAGAGTTCCTCCTTCAAAAATTATCCGGTGTTGCCCGCTTCCAAAATGGCTTTTGACCCATCGTGGAAGCATCGGCCCTGCTCCAAAAAGGCTGCAAGGGTGTCGGCAGCTGGAATGGTTTGGTCTGTGGCTCAGTTGTCACCCCTTGACTGTAGAGCCAATGGAAGAGGCCCAGTTGTGGACCGAACCACATGGGGTCGCTGGAGCAGGGGGAAAGAAGCTGGAGACAGGTAGACGGAACTTTCCGTGTGGAGATCTTTGGCCAAGAGAATGAGCCGCAGCTCTGCTCTGTGCTCTGCACTGGGTTTCTCGGTGTGAGCTGGAGGTGGGTGCAATGGCGCGGACCTCGGACCCGGTGCCCGAGGTCGCCTACCCCCGCCGCGGCATGCGGTGGTTCGCTCCCCGCACTTCCCTGTTTGGGGCAGTTAGGTCCGCAGAAGTCGGTCCGCGAGCTGTCAGCGCGGGCGGGAACGCCGCGGGGCGCGGGGTGGGCGCGGCCGACCTGGTCACTGAGCCGGCCCGCGACCCCTGACCTCCCGCGCGCCCCGCACCCGACCGGCTCAGCCGGCCGGCAGCATAACTCGCCCTTCGCTCGCTTGCTGGCCGGCCTCAGGGCAGGCGGGCGGGCGCGGGAGACCCCGCCAGGGCCGAGACTTGGGGCTGGCGGGCGGCGAGAACCCGGTTACGGCCTCCTCGCCATGTCCTCGGCCTGCGACGCCAGCGACCACTACCCCCTGCACCTCCTAGTGTGGAAAAACGACTACCGGCAGCTCGAGAAGGAGTTGCAGGGCCAGGTGAGGGGCGGGGCGGGGGTCCGACTCCTGATGGGGACTTCGGGGAATCGGGGGTCGTTTCGCCTCCCTGAGCCCATTTCCAGCCCTCTGTCCCCGGGATCCCCAGACCCCTTCCACTTTGCAGGTGTGGGACAGTCCTAATAATAGGACACGTATCGAGTGCTTACTGTGCCACGGGCTTTTTAATATCTTGTCTCTTCACCTTTCCAATAACGCTGGCGGGTAGGTACTGTTACTTTTCCACTGGACAGAGAAGGAAACTGAAGTCCTCAGAGGCTACGTGCCTTGTGCAAGGCCGCCCCGCTGATAAATGCCAAGTCGGGATTTTAACTCGGGCCGGCTGGCTCCGGAATGCACCGTCTTAACCATTTTTAGGTTCTACTGCCTCAAAGACGTAAGAATAGCACACCCTCCTTGTTGTAAGGAAGGGCTTGGTTGGTTTTGGAGTCCAGGTTCTAACGCGCCCTGTGACCTTGGGCAAGGCATTTTCCCTCTCTGGCTGACGTTAAGTTAGCTGTAGAATGAGGATGTTGGTGCTGGGGCAAAACCCAACACTTGACTCTATTGATAGGTCTGGGGTGAGGTCCAGGTGCCGCATTTTAACATACTCCCCAGGGAGGCTGATCGCTAGCAAAGTTTGAGAATCACTGGTTCTCAGGCTCCTTAAAATCCCTTCCTGTTCTAAAGTGCTTTGATGCTTTAATGTTTTCATTATTGCCGTCTCTTTAAAGCAGTAGTACTCTCAGTTGGAGGTGATTTTGCACCCCCGAACCCCTGGGGACATTTGGCAATGTATGGGACATTTTTGGTTGTTGCAAGTGGGGAGTGGGTGCTACTAGTAGTGGGTAGAGGCCAGTTATGCTGCTCAACATCCTGCAACGGACAAGACAGCCCCCCGCAACTAAGACTTATCCAGCCCCCAAATCCAATAGCGTCTTGGTTGAGAAACTCTGCTCCCCTCCCCCCCCAGCCATTGCCCAAGATGGAGTGCAATGGCCCGATCTCCGCTCACTGCAACCTCCACCTCCTGGGTTCAGGCAATTCTCCTGCCTCAGCCTCCCAAGTAGCTGAGATTACAGGAATGCGCCACCACACCCAACTAATTTTGTATTTTTAGTAGAGACAGGGTTTCTCCATGTTGGTCAGGCTGGTCTCGAACTCCCGACCTCAGGTGATCCGCCTTCCTCAGCCTCCCAAAGTGCTGGGATTACAGGTGTGAGCCACCGCGCCCGGCCGAGAAACTGCTTTTACAGTATCCCAACAATTCTGGGAGGTATTGGTGCCCTGAAGTTTCAAGGTAACAAACTTAACAGTTA